AATTCATCTAAAACAAAACAAACCCCCGAACAAACGAAAACAGTTACAGACTCAGAAACGTACCAGATGGTTCTATCCTGCCCTCTGCGGTCCTTACGAGGAGGACCAACGTGATGGTGATGCGTTTGAACGCTTGCTTGTGTGTTGGGAGCCGAGACGTTGCTCAGTGGCGCAGACCGGATACACGGATGTGGACACGCCCACATAAGCCACACCCAGGGCGGAAGCCTGGGTGCGTTGAGAAAGAAGCGAAGGGGGTGCCCTTCCCTGCACAGAGGGCGATAGCAGAGGTAGGCACGCTTTGGAAAAGGATGGCAACATAAGTACAGATCTGCTTGATACAGCGGAGGCATGGATTGTGATAAGAGCTGTAAGAGCCCCCAATAAAACGATTTATTGAAAGAAAAATCAAAAAGGAAAGGAGACACTTTCTAGGCCCGGGCGAGCGTGGCAGTCGCCTGGGGCCGCGGCTCTCCCAGGCTTCTCCACAGACGTCAGACGTGTTTCAGTACCTCTGACAGGGTGTGTGATATGCCCACTTCTGCAGGCAGGGGTCTCCTCGGTCTAAGGGTAGAGCTAGGAGAGGTTCTGACTCGATGGGAACATGGCTTCTTCAACAGAAGCCAAGGGAGAGGTGCTGCAGCCGGAGCTACCTTGGGAATAAGAAGCATTGGGGCACACGGTTAAACGGTTCAGGATTGAAGATGGCCAAGGACAGGTGGCCCTTGACAACACCCTGGCACTATGTCACCTGTGCCCCTCCCCACCTCCAGGACTTGGGTCCAGCCTGGATTGAAGGGACAGGGGAAAGGGCTGGATTGTTTAGGGAACCCTGGACGGGCCAGGGCTGTGTCCACCGGTGGTAGAAGGTTAGCACAGTCACTCTGCACCCAGGCGCACAGCTGCAGATGCAGCCCATGTCCCCCACCTGAGCCCATTCTGTTTTGCTGTGACGGGAGGACAGCAAGGCCCTTCTGGATGGCAGCCTCACTTCCGTTTTGGAGTTGGGGCTGGCGCAGAGGCCCACTGATGCAGGACCACGACATTTCCCATGAAACCGTGCTCTGGGTGCTGCCCACTGGCTGTCCCTCCTCACACTTGGGAGCAGACACTCCTTGGGTTACAGATCTTGGCTACGAGCAGGTGTGTCTGTGGGTGTGACTGTGAGTGCCAGGGTGAGCGGGGCTTGCATGTGGGAACGCAGGCATGTACTTGCCCAACAAGGATCCTTACTGAATTTTAAAAACCAAATGATAGCACTCGAGTGCTGCTACAGGCCCAGCAGCCTGTGAGTCCAGGTGTCGGTTTCCTGTGAGGACCCCAGAAGATGACCTATTTGGTGGCCCACTACCTGTCAGCCCAAGCAGCTCCAAGCCATGAGACCCCCAGCCAGTTCTTGCAGGGTCTGTCATTGCCACGGGGTGAGGAAGCCTTCAAGCGGAAAGGTGAGGGAGAGGCTAATATCAGCGTGCCAGGTCACCAAAGCTCCCTGCCTTGGACGAGCCCATCACTGATGTGTCCCTGCAGAGGCCCAGCCTTACTGGCCAGAGTGGGCGAGGAAGGGCAGAGCATGGGAACTGGGAGTGTTAGTCCAGGTTGACTGAAGAGACAAACTCAGAGATACTCAGATGTGTGTCAGAGAGAGTTTTATATCCAAGAGTAATTGTATATTAAGAAACAATCCCGGCCCAGTCTAGATCAAGTCCATAAGCTTGATATTAGTCTGATATTAGCCCATCATCTTATTCTAGTCCATAAATTCCTCTTCAGACTCACACAGCACATGCCACGATGCCAAAAGCAGGAAGATCACAGGCCGGTGGGTGGAACGTCTTGCAGAAGCATCTCAGCCCTGGTGCAGCTCTCCATGTGGCTCCTCCAGCTCCAGGGCTCTGGCTGCCATCAGCATGGCTCCATATGGCTTGTCAGCAGTATGCGAAGCAGAGAGAGTGTGTGTCCTGCCTCCAGGGAGGAAGAGAAGAGTTCCCAGAATCCTCAGGAGAAGGCCATGCCCATACAGAGGCATCATGGGCTATGACCTGATTGACAGGCTAGACTCCACCCCTTCGCTCAAGTTGACAGGAGATGATGTAACTGCCACACTGGAGAAGTCCAGGACTTATCTATATGGGCCATTCCAGGTCTGAGACAGCCCTGAAATCGGTCCTTCCTGCTTATTACTCGTGTCCCTCCTGCAACATGTGCTGTACATCCTAACCCTTGCCTTTGTG